CACCAAAGTACACATAGTATGTGATGCTCTCTCGTGGGAGCTGAGAACAGGAGCGTCCTCTGTGGAGACAGAAAGTTGCTGAGTTGCCAAGTAGGGATGGGAGGGGTGGAGGGGGAGTGAGGGCTGAAGGGCACAGGGTTTCTTCTGACGTGATGAAAACATCCTAAAATGGACTGGAGGTGACGTTCGCACAGCTCTGTGAATATACTAAAAACCATTGAATTGTCCACTTTACATGGGTGATTGTATGGCATGTGAATTATATATCTCACTGAAGCTGTTTTAGAAAAGAATTTCTCCCCGCCATCTCCGTGAAGCCTACTGTGATAGATAAAGCATGAAAAGAAAGTCGGTATAATTTTCTAAAGAAGCTTTGCAAGGTGGGCTACACCCAGAGTCAGGATGGGTTCTTACCATAGAATCCAGGAGTCTCAGAGAGAGAGACCCAGCAGGCAGGGAAGAGAGAGAGAGCTCGAGATGTTTTCTAGGGAGCTGAGGCACAGTCTTCATCAGGTAAAAACACACCCCCGAGGCAGCTCGGCAGGTCTGGGTTAGCCTTGACGCTCCCCTCTGCCACTGAATGCCCGAGCGCACCAGCTGCAGCTGCATTCAGTGTGTGCAAGCTCAGGACTCCATGGCAGACGCCCAGTGCAGTGACTTCACTCCAAATCCACCTGCTCTTCCCAGCCTTTGATTCCTGACCCAGCAACTGAGGGAAGAATCCAGATGAAATTTAAGTGGTCTGCAGACTGGGACCTAAGAGCCACCTTCTCAAATTTTGCCATTTCCAGGCACCACCTGTGCATCAATTTACCTGTAATATGTATTTTACAGTTACTTTCCCCCAGATAACTATATCACTGTGTTAAAAAAAACAAAATAGGGTTATTACCCAGATCCCCTCTGGCCACCCGTCTAGAGGAGCTCCAGACTCCTGGCTCCACCCCGAGCCTATCTTTGCCTTAGAATAGCTGGAAAGCGAAAAAGAGAATGACTTTCCTGGTGGGCATTAAGGGTTCCTCAAGGCCATGTCCATCAACCACGTATAAACACCTGCAACCCACTGGGTCCCACACAGGTTCTGTCTCGAGTGCACTCCCCTCCATGGGCATCCCAAGCTGTTCCTTCGGGATTGGCTCACGTGTGGCTCTAGTTTAGCCACACCCATGTAATAGGACCCTGAGGCTGGTTAACAGACTCAGACCCTGATGCCTGGCTGGACAGGCTGGACATGTGACCCACACCCAGGAGTTAGCCCTGAGCAAAGGGGACCTCATCCCCTCCATCACCTGGTCAGGCAGAGTTCCATATTGTAACCGATTATACCTGTTTGGGGCTTAGTGCAGCAAAAACAAAATGCAAGGCTTTCTAGATCACATGACAGGGGCCTGACTTAGGTCCTCCTTGCATCATCACCAGGCAAAGGATGCTCAGGAGAGGAGTGTCCTAGACCCTTGCCTCTGCCAATCATCCAGGCGGGCATGACCCTCCCTCTTCTCCATGCCACACTCTCTCTTGCCTCCTAAAATCCACATCCTACTTGGCCATCTCATGCCTCTTTGTTAGTGCCCATTATGGAAAAGGCTAAGTGATTCGTTGGATCCTAAAGGCTGCCATGAGTGAAATCTGCAAACATATCTTATTCTATGGCTGTTTTAGGGTTTATAGTTAATTTATTTTCTCCCCTTATTATAAAGTGTAAAGTATTTCCTACTGGCTCTGTCACAGGGCTACGGGCAACCCCCGATTCATCAGTAAGAAAGTTTTTTTTTAATAGTAGCTTGCTTTATTTATTTATTATTGATTATGCCATTACAGTTGTTCTATTCCCCCCTTCATTCCCTTCCACCCTGCACCCCCCCACCCCCACCATTCCCCCTTTAGTTTATGACCACGTGTCTCAAGTTCTTCAGATTCTATATTTCCCATACTATTCTTGCCCTCCCCCCTGTCTATTTTCTCCCCACTGTCTATGCTACTTATTCTCTGTACCTTCACCCCCTTCTCCCACTCCCCTATTGCATGTGATCTTCATGTGATCTTCATTTCCATGGTTCTGCTCCTGATCTAGCTGTCCTCTTAGTTTGCTTTTGTTTTAGGTGTGGTTGTTAATAAGTGTGAGTTTGCTGTCCTTTCACTGTTCACCTTTTTTATCTTCTTTTTCTTAGGTAAGTCCCTTTAACATTTCATATAATAAGGGCTTGGTGATGATGAACTCCTTAAATCTGATCTTATCTGAGAAGCACTTTATCTGCCCTTCCATTCTAAATGAAAGTTTTGCTGGATAGAGTAATCTTGGTTGTAGGTCTTTGGATTTCATGACTTGGAATACCTCTTTCCAGCCCCTTCTTGCCTGTAAGGTCTCTTTGGAGAAATCCACTGACAGTCTGATGGAAACTCCTTTGTAGGTGACTGTCCCCTTATCTCTTGCTGCTTCTAGGATTCTCTCCTTCATTTTAATCTTGGCTAACGTAATTATGATGTGCCTGGGTGTGTTTCTTCTTGGGTCCAACTTCTTTGGGACTGTCTGAGCTTCCTGGATTTCCTGGAAGTCTATTGCCTTTGCCACATCGGGGAAATTCTCCTTTATTATTTGTTCAAATAAGTTTTCCACTGGTGGCTGTTCCTTTCCCCCTTCTGGTACCCCTATAATTCGGATGTTGGAGCGTTTAAAAATGTCCTGGAGGTTCCTAAGCCTCTCCTCATTTTTTTGAATTCTTGTTTCTTCATATTTTCCTGTTTGGTCATTTTTTTCCTTCCTTCTGATTCACTCCCTTGATTTGAGTTCCAGTTTCCTTTTCATTACTATTGGTTTCCTGTGCATTTGCCTTCATTTCAATTAGTTTAGCCTTCATATGTTTCTCTAATTTGTGACTAAAATCAACCAGTTCTGTGAGCATCCTGATCACCAGTGTTTTGAACTGTGCATCTGAAAGTTTTGCTATTTCTTTGTCACTTAGAGTTATGGACGCTGGGGCTTTGAGATCTTCTTGAGCCATGTTTGGTCTCTTTGCGCCCATTAAGTATGAGGAGCGGAGCCTTAGGTGTTCACCAGGGCGGGCCGCCCAGGTCGCTGAGTTGTGACGCTGCATGTGGGGGCGGGGTCAGAGCGGGGAAATGGAGGCCCCTTCTGCTGCCTCTTGCTGCTGGGGCCTGCTCGGTCCCATCTCACCGCCCACTCCCTCCTCACCACCCACTCCCTCAGTGGTCTATCTGCACACGAATGTGCGACCACAGTCAACCCGCCACCCTGCGCCCTCGCTGGGTCTGCCTGTTGCTCACTGGGTCGCTCACTGGGTCTGCCCGTTGCAACCCCACTCCTGGAGTCTGCACACCTGAGTCCCTCCGACCGAGTTTTCCTGTGCAACCCCGCTCCACCAGCTGCTGGCTTCGCCCCTCTTACTGATCAGGCTGAAGAATTTGTTGTTATTAGACTTCCAGAAAGTTCAATTTTCTGTGTTCTGGCTATGTTTTCTGTTGCTAATATTTTGTTGTCTCTAAACTTGGTTGTGTGAGAAAGCACGCCGTCTCCACCTATGCCTCCATCTTGGCGGAAGTCCAGTAAGAAAGTTTTCTATGCAGAGAGGCTCATTAGGTCCAGCCTTGTTTTGATAAGTCCAGATTCTTCACTGCACTGATTTTTCCATCCAAATGTGATTCTCTCCTGATGCTTCTCAGCTAAGTGGCTGCGAACACCTGTGAGGACAGTGGGGTCTCTTACCCAGCAGGTGGGCAGCAGGTACCACATGAGTTCATACCACAGGGCACACAGGGCTTGGGGGCAACAGCCCTCTCTCAGCCCTCAGATGTTCAGGGAGCCAGGGCCTCAGATGTTCAGGGAGCCACAGTTCCTTGGGACCTTTAACCACAAAGCCATGTCCACACATATCCAGCTCCAAGTAGAGTTCTCTGGGTGGGGGCGGTGGTGAGGCTGAGCTGATTTCACTGTGACGAAGGGGGACAAGGAGAGGGAAAGGCATACAGAAAAGGCCAGCATGGGTTTGTGCATGCTTGCAGAAGTGGCATTGAGGGGCATCACTGACCATCCTATCTGTCCTCATGCTCCTCTTTGAAAGCCTGAGGCTCACTGGCCCTGTGGACGTAGATGAGGGTGTCTTCTGGGTAACTAAAGGAGCTGCTTTTTCATGAGTGTCCTAGGCCACCTGAGGGGACCAAGCTGACCTGGGCCCTCTCCACTCCAGCCTGGACTCCTGTTGTTGGAGCACCTCCTGGACTTGGGGATTTCAGGGGTCAAATTTCAAAAAACAAAGTGCTAATGACATAGTGTGGCTAATTTATTTTCTGGTTACTGCCATTTCATAAAAGAAAGGATATTTTAATATCGAAACACTAAGAAGGATATAACCTCAAAATAAAGAACAACCCTTCTAGCGATAATCTAGATGGATGATGTTAAGTCTTTTCTTGGGATGATGAAAAACCTAACTTGCATGAACCTCAGTTTCCCCATCTGATAAATGGGTCAGTACTTTGCTCATGGGGTTGTTGTGAGGACTCACCGAGTCCCTGTATTTTACCCTGTATAATGCACAATTTTTGCCCAAATTTTTGAGGGAAAAAGAAGGATGCACATTATACATGGGTATAATGATCACCTACCACGGGTAGAAATGGGTGTAATAACCCCATGTATGATGCGCACAAAAACGTGGGTGCGCAGTGTACACGGCAAAATACGTAATGTTTTTAAAGTATTTAGGACAGTGCCTGGTATATAAATGTGATATAAGCATTTGTTAAATTTTAAAAAACTTAATTGGGTTAGGTATTTTAAAAAGAGGAAAAGACAAGCAGGCTGAGGGTCGGACAGATGGGGATGAGAGGTCCAGGCTGGAGCCTCGAGGGGATGAGAGTCATTTCCGGTGAGAAAACGCTCTCCGCTGTGCTCTGCCTTCCCTCCGCCCCCGCCCAGTGTGACCGCTGCGTCTGCCCCTGCGGGCCTCCTGCTCACCGCTCACCTCACCGCACTCCCTCTGCAGGTCTTCGGAGGCCTGGTGTGGATCCTGATCGCCTCCTCGCTGGTGCCCTTGGCGTTGGTGCAGGGATGGGTGATGTTCGTGTCTGTGTTCTGCTTCGTGGCCACCACCACCCTGCTCGTCCTGTACATGATGGGTGCCCACGGCGGGGAGGCTTCCTGGGTCACCCTGGTGAGTCCCAGATTGAGATGTCCAAGGGGGCGGGCAGTGTTGGACCCTCTTCCCCAGGAGGCTGGCTTTGGCCAGGCCTTCAGCTCCGAGCTGTCCCAGCACCCAGGGCTCCCTGTGGCCTGGAGGCCGAGAGGAGGCACAGGCTGATGGTTACTGCCCGACTCTCTGGGCCCACTCTGTGCCCACTCTGTTTTCTCTTCCATGACTGCCCTCTCCACAGATAACCAGCAGCCCAACCCCCCGTCCATACTGCCTGCACCTGCCAGGTGCCGGTAGTGGCACCCTCCTTCCTCCAGGAGGCCGGCTTCCACCTTGGCTGTCTTGGGGGCGGGGGGAGATTGTGCTTACTGCTCGGCTCCCAGGCATGACTTCTAAAGCAGGCTCACCGGAGAGGGACTCGGAGGGGGCAAGGGATGAGCTTTGGTCTCTATCTGCATAGACTCTGCCTTGGGACCCATGAAGAGAGTAAAACCTACACATGTAACACCTGCCATTATCTGCCCTGGAATGGAGGACAGGTGTGGCTGGGCCTCTCTCCCTAAAAAAAGCCTCCTCCTGAGACTTTAAAATCACTTTCAAATTACAACTTCTCAAAACTCCTTTTCTGCTTTAGACATAACTGGGCTGCCCCCCACCCAAAAAAACTGAACAACAAAACAATGGAAACGGTGTGGGCCTCTCTTTCCCTGCACTGGCCACCAAGGTCACATCCTAACTGGGACTGTGACCACGTGTGACCCTTCTCAGGTCCAGAACCCATTTCTACCTGTTAAATCCTGAGCTGTTCTTCCTGCCCCCACCTTTTTCTTGGTTCCACCTCAAGGGAAAGCAGAGTCTCTTCTTCATCAAAGTCCTACCTCTGATGTCCAAACCAGTAAGAAAAAAAACAGCTGGGAAGTGCTGATGTGTGAGGAAGGGACTGGCAGCTGTGGCGATAGGCGGATAAAGGGACCGAAGCCAAGCCAGGTCGGGTGGGGTGTGGACAGGCCCTGCTGGGCCGCAGCTGCCCTCACGTCCACGTCTGGGCCTCCATCTCTCTCTCTGACGCCCATTCTGGCCCCGCAGGACGCAGCCTACCACTGCACTGCCGCCCTGTTTTACCTCAGCGCCTCGGTCCTGGAAGCTTTGGCCACCATCCAAATGCATGACGGCTTCACCTACAAGCAATACCACGAAAACATCTCTGCTGTGGTGAGTCCCCATCAGCCGTCCATGTCCCAGCTCCTACCACCCACCCACAGGGTCTGAGCTGAAGAATGCCCTTCTTTCTGCTTTTCTAGTTCACTAACTTTTGAATGAAGTAAACCTTCCCCCCATTTCTGAAGAAGTAAAGCCCCGGAGAAGAGAAGTGATGTGCCCAAGACTCCCCCAGCCATCAGCCAGTGTCACACTGCTCGGGCCTGGGCTGGCCCAGGAGTCTGTGCCTGGGGGGCTTTATTCAGGGCAAGTGTGTGAGGAGGCATGACCACTGGGCGCCAGCACCGTCTGAGCTCCGTGAACAATCTCATTGAACCCTCACAGCAGCCCTAGGATGTAGGCACTGTTCTTACACCCATTACACAGATGGAGAACCAGGGCACCGAGAACATGCACAGCTTGCTCCAACAACACATAAATTGGCAGGGCCTGGTGTCCCAGCCGGGTGCTCTGTTGCACCCACTCAGCACCAGGTTGAAGCAGTGACTCTGGCCACTTGCCCTCCTGGAACTCACTGAGTGGTCCATCTGCCATCAAGGCTTAGTCGGGGCTGGAGAGCACTGAGACCAGGCTGGAAAATCGAGTGGCCAGTGTCTCACCAGGCCCTGGTCCAGACCCACAGCTGTGGGTGTCTGCTGCTTCAGACGCCATGACGCTGTCTACTGCCTGACAGTTGAGGACCTGTGGGAGGAGGAGGGACCAGAGTCACATCTCCACTGATTCCTTGTGTGGGTGGGTGCCTTGTACTCTCAGCCTTGGCTTGCTCATCTGTAAAATGGATGTATTTCCTGTCTGGCTCCCTTGAGGAATGCAGAGGTAGTGAACAACTTCTTTTGAGGCCTCCCAGTGAGCAGCGGGTGTGACAGGGGCTTGCACCTCACTGCCAATCAGGAGAAGAAGTGGGGGTGCCAACTTGTGTGTGACAGGGGCCAGGTCTCTGAGCTCTAAAAACATGCTCTCTGATGGTGGAGCCAGACCCACTGGTGGCCTGCAAGGTCAGAACCTGGATTTCCTTTTTCATGAAAAGGATCAGAATGACAGGGAGTTCAAGAATAGATAGTTTCACAAAGTTTTTCACAGAGTCGCATGTGCGTGGGCCAGTACTGGGGCACTAATGCCCGATGTCCATGGATTTCTATGTTTAAAAAATAACTTCTTTAAGAAACAAGAAAATGTTTCAGAAATGGCACTCTTTAGATTTCTAGAGGTTGACCTATGAATTATGCAACGTGATGATAGCCAGCTTTAGACACCAAAGCCCTGCTGTTCCTCCTGTCGGGAAAGGGTGGAGTAGCACCTGAGAGGAAGCCCACAGAGATTGGGCCCTGGGAAGGGGGTTGGTGAGGGTGCTCCTCCTGCTCCCAGAGCCAAGGGTCTGGAGGAAAGTTCCTCAAGGTTTTGTCCACTGGTCCCTATGAGCCCATCCCCCAACCTGGGGAAGCCACATGCTCCCCTTAAGCTCCCAGCACACTCCCTGGTTTCATAAGCCTGGCCACCTCAAGGTGCCTGGTACCCCTCAGTGTCCCACAGTATGGAATGGCTCCCATATCGGCTCATTTTCCAAGGAGGCTGATTGTGAAGTGGTAGCAAAACCGGGCAGCACCTTGGTGAGTTTTCCTTCCCTTGGGAGGTTGGTCATCCTTCAAATGACTCCGTGTGGTCACCTCCTTACCTAGAGAGCCTCAGACCTCCCCTATCCCTACCCAGAAGGCTTCTCTTCAAGCAACATCAGCAAGGCATTTGACAATCATTTCCATAAAAGTACCGTGGATAATGGTCATGAAGCATAGATGGAATGTGTCCAGTGGGTCAGCACTTGATGACACAAACCAATGGCATGAATTCATGTCCCTGCCCCCTGGATCGGTCTCTGGTTGAGAACCACTGGGCTCTACTGGTTCCCACTCTCCTCCTTTACTTTTTATCAATATGCAACTTATATCCAGAGAAGTGATCAGGATGTAAGTGTACAGCTTGATGAATTTTCATGAAATAAACTCCTCTGTATAACCAGCATCCTGATCATGAAATAGAACAGAATAGCTCCCAGAATCCCTTCTTGTCCTGCTGCCGTCACTGCTCCCCCACACCGAGGATAACCCCCCACCCTGACTTATATTTGCCCAGGTCACTTCCAGCTGCTTTTGACCTCCATGTAAGTGAGGTCGTCTATGTGTATTCTTCTATGTCTGGCTTCTTTTTCTCAACCTCAGGCTTGTGAGGTGCCCCAACATGGTTGGGTGAGATGTGCAGTGTTCATTCTTTTTGCTGCACAGGCTTCAATGGAAGCACCAACACGTGTTAGTCCATTCCACGACTGATCACGTGCCCAAATTTTTGTTAATTAAGCTTGAGAATCATGAGTGTGCCCAGGCAAAGTCAACTGTGCCAGAATCAGGACGAAAGTGTCCTCCGAAGGCACACACTGGGCTGAAACCTCACAGAAACATGAGCCCATTTCCACATAAAGTCACACCTTTCTGCCAGCAGTATTAGCACTGTGGGTGTGCAGCACAGGAGTCATGATTACTCAGGATTTGGCCCCAGACCCTAGCCAAGCAGAACCTGCCCTTCAGACGGTTGGCAAGTGGCCAGTCTGGGTGTGGGGAGGTATCTCATATCCCTTCTCCCACAGCCCTGACCCTTGGGGTCCTGGGATTGGTGGAGTTGACTGAGGGCAGCAGGAAATTTCTGCAGAAATCTGGGGGTCTCTGGGTCTGTGGCTGGCGCTAATGGCCACTGTTTAGGGAGAGGGGTTTCTGAAAGCTTAAGAATGTCACTTCATGCTCCTGGCTCTCAGTGTCCCCAAAGTGTCATGTTGTGGTCTCACTTGGGAAACACATCTGTTGCCTCCTCCCAGTGGGACTTCGGAGGTGCTTCTGCCAAGCATTCTCACGGGTCCGGAGTTGCCCAGAACGTGAACTGCTCCCTGCCAACGAGAGGGGGGATTGTTTCTAGGGGGCCAGCCACACACGTATGACTGTTCCTCCCAGACTGGGTACTTAAGAGTCCCCGAATGAGTTCTCTTACATTCGTTATTAAGTAACTCAGCTTACTCATCGCCTCTGGCCAACGGGGCTGAAGGGCTCACCCATGTGTGGAGTAGGGGACAGAGCAGCACGGTGCCACCACTGTTTATGGGCATTTTCCAAAGTCAGGGAAGCATGGCCACCCTAAATACTGTGCCTGGCTTGGAAACTCTTGACCCTGAGCCTAAGGTCACAAAGCAGGTACAGATTGTTGACTTGGAGGCAGGCAGCCTCCCTTTAGGGAGGCCAGCCACCAGAATACAGTGATAGGAGTAAATGGTGCCCAGTGAACACAGCAAGTCAGGGCTGTGACAGCCAACGAGTGACCAGTTGCCACACTTCCAAGGCCTTCCTTCATTCCCAGTGCCAAAGCAGCTGGCCAGCTGCTTTCCCAGTAAAGCTACTTCCTTTCGTGCAAAACCTCAGAGTCCCTCCTCTGTGTCCCTGCCCCTCACTTCTTGTGAGCCTGGCCCCCTTACCCAGGCCTGTGGTGTGAAGAGTCATAGAATGAGGTCTGAGGACGTCCAGGCAGCATCAAGACCTTGACCAGAGCCAGCAGACCCACATGGACGTATTCTGTTAGCAGAGGCTGCCGGGGGTCACACCTGGTGGACTCTGGTCTTACTGGTGTGGAGGAGGGAAGTTTTCCATGGAGAGTAGTTGATACTCTTCTGCTTCTGAGATGCCGTTTCCAGTTGGGCAGCACCTGTGCAATCAATCACACGAGAAAGTAGAAAGTTGGCCTTGCACGCCAAGTTCACTGCATTGTCCGGTCAGCTGGAGCTCTGTGCCAACAGCATCAGGGGCCACAACTGGGGTTGTAAGGGTGTAACAGGAAGGTGGTGGGAGGAAGGGTGTAACGTGAGTGGTGGGAAGCAGTGGCTGGCCACACACAGCAGGTCTGTCATCCTGAATGGGTGCCATGAAGCATCCAGCCTGTCCCTGCCTTGCCCTAGCCCCATATATGCCTGTTAATGGTCATTTATCTTGGTTTCAGGTGTTTTCCTACGTAGCCACTCTGCTGTATGTGGTCCACGCTGTGTATTCTTTAATCCGATGGAAATCTTCATAAAGCAGAGGAGGAAGAACTATAGCTGAACACCCAGACGGTGTTAATTGATCAGCCCGTCTTCCAGCATCACTTTTTAGAATGCAGGCATGCTCTCCATAATGGAAAAAAGAAAACAAACCAAAAAAAAAAGCAACACTCTGTTTCTTGTGGGTGTTATGTTTACTGTCTCATAGACCTTTATGTCAGGGTTGGGGCCAGCTACCTTTAACCTCAAATGACAGCTATCTTTCTTGGGTTATTTCTTGCTTTGGGGGGTCAGTGTGGCATGGGAAGTGGGGACTGTGGTCTGAGAGACCATGAAATGAAGATGCCCTGCCAACCTCTGGATGGATCTTGAGAACTCTCGGAATTCTTCATGGGCTCTCTGCGCACCCATCTCCTGGCTTGTTTCTAAGTCATCACAGAGGTTCTGCCTACCATGGGGAGTAAAACTCGCCCAACAAACATGTACAAATGTCCACAGTGGAAGATGACAAACCCCTGAGACACCTCATAAAGTGCCTTTATGTTCAGTAATTTTGTGGGGCGTTTTTTGTATGAGGAATGCCGTCGTGTCAGCTTTCTTTCCGAGGAACCCTTGGTTCAGAGTGACCCTAGAGGCAGCATCGAATGGCAGTTCAGGTGACAGCTGTGTGTGCTTGGCCACTGCACCGGGCATCCCACCCTCCCCAGGAGAGCTTCACCTCCCTGGAAACTCCCCAGGTACCAGCCCAAGGATGCCGTTCTTTTTCCTACAGGATGAAGGGGCCTGTGCTCAGTGAGCAAGTCTTTAAGCCAAAGAAACGAGGTGCAGAAGCTCCTTCTCATTCTCTGTGTAGCTGATCAGAATTGCACTAGGCAGGTCTGCTCCAATTTGGAATGTGGATAGTGAACTAGAACTTCCTTGGGTCACCTCATAGGAGAGAATGGGGACCAGACTACAGAGAGAGGTGTGACAAGTGGTGAGTGCCACGTTGTGGGTGTGAGACATCTGGGTTGAAAGGATGGGATAGTTAGGAAGGAGGGCACTCAGGACTCATGAAAGCCCAGCTCTCATTATCAATGCTCCTTTGTCCCATCACCCAAGGAAGTCACTGATATGTCACACCCGGGACATCAGAACAGGTGCCTCAAACACTGGTCAACTCTCGGCCACAGCGGTTCACAGGCAGATCACCTCTTGCTAGTAAAACTGGAAAAGACACTGACATTCAGGCTGCCTGTCACTACCAAAGCCAATTAGCAATGACAGTGATTGAATCTTTATGGGCGCTTTGTTCAGATGGCCGGCGATCTGAGAAGATGGAGGGTTCATACCCTACCAGACAATCTTCCCTTTTTTTTCCAGGCCAGACTTTTATAATGGGAAATAAACAAGGTGTGGTGAGGGCTTTGAGATTCAGGGAGGATTAGGTAAAAGAAGCTGCAACATTCCTGTCCTGGGCAGTTAGCTGTTCCCAGGGGCAGGCGGTCATCTGTCTGTCCCTGAAACACAAAGGCCGGGATGCCTCCACTTGTCCCCAGGTCGTCATCTTCAGCAGTGCCCCAGGAGGTCCGCTATTTTCCCAGGAGCCAGGATGGGCTTCATCTGTAGTTTCTGAATCAAAAGCTTTAACATACACATTACTTGCTAGAGTTAAAACTTTTTACCTTAAGCTAAAATTTTTCAAGTCTTGAGTCCCCTGTCACTAGCAACCACACAGGGCACAGATTGAAGCCTCAGGCAGAGGTTTGACCAGTAGACAGTTTACTTCCTGTCCAGCTCACAGCCCCCATGACTGAATTAGGTCTCAGTGGCATCTTTGGGTTGTCTTTTGTAATCATAGAGTAATGGTACCAGAAAAGGGGCTCTTATAGTGAGTCCACATAACACCAAATGTGAGTAAAATCTCCATAGGAAATGAGGAGCAAAGACGAGTGGGGCTTTATATTGAAAGATCAAAGTACAGATTAAGAAATGAGAGGAAGTTTGTCATGCATTTAACATATTTGCAATCAAATGACTGAGGGAAGTCTTTTTGAACAAAACTGCCAGTGAGCCAGCAACATGGTGCTAACAAGAGCCTCATTTTTTACCCCCGTCAAGAAAAGTGGAAGGCTAGGTTGAATTTCTCAAGGGTTTCTCGAGGTTTCAAAATTTGAATCCTTCTCTTTGAAGAAACTTTGATATGATCTTTCTCTGTTTTCTCTTTCAGTTGCAAATGAGTCCAACTGTGGCACCCTCAATTAGCCCAAGGCTTTGCAGGAGATCCTCCAGCATGAGTTTTCTTTCCTCCCATTCCAAGTCAATGTTACAGTTTCATCTGGCCTTTGATCTGCATCTGATTCACATGCACGTTAATGGGATGGGCAGCCTCACGAATGGCCTCTCCTGAACTCAATTTGCCCATGCATCTCACTACTCAGCTCCTTTGCATCCAGCTATTTTGGAAGAGTTTACAGGTCCAAATACTGGTCGATGGGCAGGTCTTTTACAAAGAATGAGCATTGTCTGAGCACCTACTGTGTGCTAGGACCATTGGTCCCTCAAATGTGGGATGGTGTCTGCCCCTAAACCTTCTTCTGGCCACCATGCCTCCCATCTCTGCCTCTGGATCTTGGGCAGGAAGGAACCTCCTCTGGGGCATATCTTGATGCTACCCCAAGGGCAGGTGGGGCATTCCTTATATGTTGCCTGCTTGGTGGCCCTGACTTGGACCAAAAAACAAGTATCCACGCCTCACTTCCCAACAGACCCAGCCACATCTGCACCTGTGTAACCACCTTGCCGCCATCTATGGAGCTCTCGCCTTGGGCCAGGTCCTTAATGTACATGCATCTTATATACCTATAGAGTCCTGTCATCCTCTCTTTGGCCAAAAAGTAGATGACCACTACTGTCGCTCTATAGGAAACAGATTCGCTCAGCTGCTGAGAATGAACAGAGCATAGGAGCTACACTAAGCACCTGCTCTTTCTGCCCCTAGAGCCCTGTGTTCACCTACCGCCCTCCAGGGCACAGACCTGTCACCTTGCGGGTCTGTTGCCTAGCCCCTTGGGAACTGATAGGGAGATGAGACCTTATAGTGTACCTGACACAGGTGGGCAGGGGCCTTCAGAGGGACAGCCCCTGACCACTAAGAGGGTTGGCAGGAGGCCACGTGCTGGGTCCAGGTTCTGGACTCAGTTGTCTTATTTAAAGGGACTGGTTGTTCTGAGCTGCAAAGTCATAACAATGCCAGTTGTGTTCAGCCAACCAGTCAGTTCTACTCTGCAGCCCCCTCAAAGCCAAAGGCCCGCCCAGTCCAGCTGTGTAAAGGTGAGTAAGAAGCTGATGTCTGCAATGTGACCCAGAGCCAAAGTTCTCAGAGTGGAACCACCCGCAGTCACCACACGTGTGTGGTGAGGGTGTGTGTCACGGAAGAGAGTGAGGGCAGCTGTGGATCAGATCCAGCCAGGTGGGGTGCAGGTTCTCGCCTGTGGCCTCAGTGGCTGTGGCCTGTGCTTCCTGGGGGCTCTGGAGGCCCCTCCTGGGAGCCTTCCCTGGGCAGGTCAGGGTGACCTGGGAGAGGCTTTGCCTGCATTCAGTCCTCTGGGACAGGTCGCTGACCCTCCATTCTGCTCACATTGGTCCCCACAAGATCTGCCCTCCTGGCGAAGACACAATTGACAGGAGCTGGGCCTCATGGACATTCTAGACTAAAACTGTAAAGAGCACCACTTACCAGAAACCCACAGCCTCCCTTCGCTGACCTTACAGACAGCAAAACCCTTGCACTGCCAGCCAGGGGCCGAGTGAGTAGCCTTTGGGGCCGCACAAGGGCCTGTTGTTCTGGGAATCACTCTGGCCAGTTCAGGGTCACAATGGGGCCTTTTAGGGGACAAAGCACTTCTGGCTCAGCCAAGTGTCCCTGCACACATGGGCACACACCCAGGGCATTTAAAATAACACAACTTGGAAAAACAAATTACAGTGATTTCTTCCATTCTCTGCATGATTCAAAGGCCTTTGTCGTGTTTCCATCATCTTGGGTTGTGGCCACCTCTAAAGCTGGGGTGATGGAGGCAGATGCTGAGGCTCCTACTGTGGCCTCTTTCTTCACTCACTGTTTACAGGCGGACAGTCACAGTTCCAAGCTCTACAGATGGTACCCCGGGAGGTTTGACACATGCAGGGTGCCCAGCTTCCCAGGCTTTCTTCAACCAACACATGGCCACCAGGAGCCTGCAGGACGCAGACACTAGGGCCCGGAGGGAGAAGACTTGCCAACGACAGTGGGTGCCTGGGGCTACTGGAAACACTTTACTCCTTCATCCTGTGACCACCATATGTGACGGATACAATTTAGATGAGGTATCTGAGACACAGAGAGGTTAAGTGATTTACCCAAGGTCACACAGCAAGTCAGTGTGATTCCAGTTTAAGGGGTCTGGCTCTAGGGCCCCCAACACAAATTATCTGTCATTGCCATATCTTACCATGACAGGGCCCCTGTCCCTCTGAGAGCAAGGGGCACGGACATGCCAAGCAAGGCCTGCACACCCACAATACTGACTAGTGATACTGAAGTTTCCAAATGGCACATGACAAGTGTCGGGAACCCAGCTGGAAGCCCAACCTGCCTGGGGGGCGGGGGGTGATGCCTGAGATGAGGAGTGTGATCCATCCCAGGTAGGGGGAGGGTGGGGGAGGGAAGGTCTCAGGAGGTTGTGAGGGCCCTGGGTGCCCTGCTGAGGGCACGGCTGCAACCTAGCTTGTACCTAAGACAGCTTCAGCTGCCCAGGTGAGAGGTGCTAAGGGTCTGGGTAGTAGAGTGACCAGAAAGGCTGGGCTGGGATGGTGGGACAGACTTGAACAGATTTTGGTAAACTGAGACAGCGAAGGGGTGGGCAAACACCATGGATCCCTGAGCCAGCGTGCGTGGCCTGTCTCAGCCTCAGCACCCTTGCCTGCAGAATCGGAACATTCATACGTTGCTGGGAAAATTCCAGGACTTGGCTCAGGAAAGTCCCTGGCAGGAAGGAAGCCTGAAAAATTACAGAAATGAGAAGGGAAGGGTCTAGAATATTACTCAAGTTTCTAGCCCAGGCAGATAATGGTTGTTCACAGCATGTTTGTTCATTAACCATGTTCCTGACATTGTCACGAACTTGGATGGATATTTTTGCTTTTTCCCAAAGAATGGAACATTTAATTGGCCATGACAATTTAAAATAGCCCCACCTAGTAAACCCAGCTTCAGTCCCTTAGGAAGGAGTCCATTTCTGCCAGAGCCCTCTGACCTCTGAGGGAAGTACACAGTGAATGCCTGAGGGTCACGGTCATCCAACTGGATGCTTTAGACCCCGCAGTTCCTGGTCATGAGAAGCCAGCCAGACCCAGCAGCCTCCCAACTTCCCCCCAGACAGCAGCACGGGTGGGACTGAGGTAACAGGAGGCCCAGAGCACCCAGCCATTAGTGCTGGAGGGAGCACCCAGCCTCGGGGGTCCTGACACTCGCCGAGGCCTGCCACCCCCTCGTCTTCCTGCCCTCCTCTTTTCTCCCCGGTTTTA